AAAAAAAACATAAAAAACTGTTTAAAAGATTTCAAAAAGCCTTTAAACAACATTACAGCTTCATAAATGCTCAGCTGAGGGAACCATCTCACCAGAGCCCTGCAGGTAAGACCTGCTGATACAAGTACAGATACAGAAAGGAAAGCCAGGAGCATCTTCGGTTGTGTTTTCACTCGATGTGCACTCTGCAGATTCTGTGGCGACCTTCTTGTTTTGCTTTTTTCTTCAACATTTAGAGTTTATCATTCACCTGAATTACGCTGAACAAATACCAGGTGGTATTTTGACCACTATCACCGTCCCCTGAATTCAATCGGCATCAATAAAAAACCGATAGCTTAGCTAAGGCGGCATGTGTAAAGTTACTGCTGCACGTTTGTCTTCACCTGCATTGAGTTCTCTGCTGGTGGATTTGGGGATCTTCTTCTCCGATGTCTCAGATTTGGTGGATTTCCTCTCCAGGGTGCTGTGACCTTTGACCTCGTCGGTGCCGGGGGTGGTGGCTCTCTGCCGGAGAGGGGAGGGCGGGTACTGACCGGGGGAGCAGGGAGACTGAGCACGACTCCTGCTGGACCTCACCCTGAAGCAACCAACAGAGTCACATCAAGTCACCCGTGCTTCAGAAGTGTGCGCATTCATGTTCAGACATGCGAGGACAGAAAACTGGCATGTGGCTATATTTGGGACAAAATGCTCATCCCGTGGTTGGGTTTAGGCTGAGCGTCAGGATTAGGCGTTCATCGTTGGTGGTTAGGGTGAGCGGCTAGGGAAAGTGTGTGTGTGTGTGTACCGTTTCGGTGTGGCGGGGCCCTTGCTGTTGGCCCTGAAGGAAGAACTGCGGCTTGGTGTGTTTGCTGACTCCCCCTAAAAATCAGATTTAACAAATATTACTGGCTGTATAAACACATGATAATCAGAACATCAGGACTTCGTGAAGCTCTTGTTGTAGCCGTGTAACCGGAGACCCATCAGTGAGGATGAGTCAGGATGCAGCTTCATCATACTGGATGCAGCTTACTCACATCAGTAACGACTACAACATCAATTTGTGAACGACGTGAGCGGTCGTTTTCCTGCCTCATTAAAACTGAGTCCTTCCTTCCTGTCCGAAGCATCCGTGCAGACAGAGGATCCTCTTACATGCTCGTTAGCTGCAATCAAACAGTTACTAAACAGTTCTGACTGCATAGATGTTTGTTAACATCCAAATGAATTCATTACTGAAAGCTTTACTGGCTTTTTGACCGGTGTGGCCCAGTTTAGTAACTTGCACGTCTTTAATCCTGCAGCTACGTCCTGAAACTAGTCAGTACAGAGTAGAAACCCCGTCTGAGGCTGAAATAATGAGGTGGAATGAAAAACTATCAGTTCATCTAATGTTCGCTCTGACAGAAAGTCCCCACAGACTCAGAATTCACAAATTTACAGCAGAAATAAAGACATTTTAAGTTTGGTATGACTGCATGATTTTTCTGTACCTCATGTTAAGGTTTAAAGTTTGGGGCTTGGCCGCGCTAACGGACACGCATGGCAACACAAGTGCAGAAGCTCCCAGCTGTATACTAATCTTCATCTTAGCTCCATGTGTATGCACTTCCTTTTTTAGCAGTTTTACCCTGAGAGGCTTAAGACATCAGCAGTGTCAACTCTAATTATAACCCTAAAGATAAAAAGAAAAGCTTTAAATATGTAAACTTTACAAACAGAGTTCACACACTGCTGCAGAAAAAGGTGTGACAACAACAAATTCAAACAGAGGTGCAGACATTAGGCTAAAAGACAAAACAGAACAAAACTAAAGAAAAGTTCAGATGCACAAAAACACAAAATCCCACCTGTAAACATATTAAATTCTTTTATAACCCAAGAAAAGATAAGAAGAATCCAAGATTTTAAATAAAATAGCGTTTTATTGGTCTGTTATTTAGCACAAGATTTCTGTGCCCCTGCATCGCGCCATAATCATTCCACCCTATTGCTCAAATATGACTTCTGGCTCTAAGAAAAACACAACATGGTCAAAATGTTAACACAACCAGAGTCCAAACACCACGTTTCATACCTGGCTACAGTGCTGACACTCAGACTGCAGGACGAATAC